ACATGTATTTGTGGCACGGGGTAGGGATGAAAAGGATGACCTCTTCAGAGCTCTTCTAGTGCTATTTATATGGTATTTCATATTATATTCATGCTTATAATTTTCCTTGCTAGCAAAAGCACTGGAAGGTGAATTAATTTAGAATAAATGTACATTCATTCTCACAGAGAACATGTTCATGTGGTGTAAGGCTTTAAGATCTCTAAGATTTTAATTTTCTGAATATCAGTGTTGCATTTGAAAGTGTAGAAATCTTATCTGTGGATGTAATTAAAATTCAACAGAAATCCATAAATGGCCCAGAATCATTAGTATTTCTTGACAGTAAGATCATAAATCATTTGTGAAACTTTACTGGAAACCAGAGAAAATGGCTTTTCTCTTTAACACAGGCTAGGACATGACCTTCAGTGTTTCTGTCTATAAGAAGTTAGAGTAGTCACTTGTAAGAATTTTAAAGTTAATATTATTTGAGTGTTCTCAAGAAAGTGACAAACTGTCCCTGTTTCTCAAACCTTTGTACAGTAGGTACAGTGTTAATTGTGCTATTTGACCTCAGGGATAATCACAGGGAAGTTGTGGCTCATGACAAATCTTTCTTTGACAAGAAACCACAATGCTGCTTTACTCTATGGAATCTCAAGTTGTTTCACATTTTTTTCTAAATAGTCAGGCTTGCATCTTTTCTCCTTCCATTAGCTTTTGCCACTTGACATGCTGATAAGTCTTAGTTTAAAATGCATTTCAGCAGAGGCAGGGGACATTGTGTTGTCTGACACCAGGAACAGCAACAAGAGCTTCAGAACAAAAAGCATATATTTAACAGCAGAGGAGCCAGCTTCAAGGTGTGAGGTTGTCAAGTGCCCAGTCACCTACAGTATGTGTGACACATCAAGTCATCCTACAGACAACTAATTTGGAGAGTAGAAAAAAGATGAGGATTATAGAAAGGAGTCAAGGTGCCTGTGGCAGGTGGGTGATTGAACCCCTGGGTATTTCTAGCTGGAATCTGAATTCCAAAAACACAGAGATGCTTCTGTAGTGTGTTGGAGGTCCCTTAGCAATGTGATTCAGAGGTGTTCAGCATATTTTGACTGAATATTTTAAATCCGCTAATGTAAAATTGAAGTCTGGAATTTTTTTGAAGTCCCCTAGCAATTACTTTATTATGCTGTCTTTACTCAGAATTGATCAAGTTAAGTTGGTGTGCCAAATGTATTTTTTCTCAGGAGCACATTCTCTGGTGCTGTGCAATGATTTCTGCATTAGCACTCTTGTCACAGCAGCAATTCAGCAAGCTGACCCTATATGCCTTTTTATGAAGATACTTTTTCACATTTCCCCTCTCTGCTGTGCCTAATATGTAAACATGAGGCACGAAAGATTGGTCAGTGTTTCCATAATGGCATGGACCCCAGAGGACTCATGCATATTCACTTATTATTAAATAGTTCATATGCCTTTAACCCATCACCAAATGAGTCAAGATTTGCATTTTGCTTGCTATTCAAGTTTTCAAACTCATGAGCTCCCTGCCTAATGAGAATAATATTTATCCAGGTTAATTGATAAAATCTCCTCAACATAAAGTGCTCTAGGAAACAATTTCAGAACACTTACATGTTATATTAACATCTAATTATTTTATTCAACAACCCCAGAGGAAGTGGGGATGTAGGATGAATGAAATGTGTTTTCTATTACATTTTTTCTAGAAAAGCTCATCTACTTCTCTTCTAACATATCTGTATGTTGTCTTTTGCTTAAGACCTAAACATCCTTAAGGATCTGAGCATAAAGCTATTTCAGTCTTAACCAAAAAAAAAGAATTCAAGAAAAACAGTTGCTAGATTTTGAATAATGAATAGTTCTGAATTGATTGCTGCATTCTACTGTGTTTGAATAAAAAAATTTTAAAAATAGCAGAAAAAAATCGAGAGAACTGCCATAAATTCATAAGCAAGATGTAAACAGAAATAAAGCCAAATTTCTTAAATAAATGATTCATTACAATCCAGTACTCCAAGCCTTTTTCCCCACCTTTGGAGTTACTCTTTTTTTTTTTTTTTGCCTAAGGACAGTTTTCTATGAATTTACATCATGATAAATGTGTCCTTTAAGCAGAGAAGCAGAGATAAAACAGAGGGTTGAAATTCGTTATGGAATGTCACACACTGTAAAAATTCTAGTATTTCAGGTTCGTTGTGTTTTGCACTGTTGCTTTCTGTTATCCATAAAACGTTTACATTGGTGACTTTTTTCCCCCTATTAACATGTTTTAAGCTGAATAATTTCAAATCATCTCATTGTTCATTTTATTGGCAGCAGACTGAAAGTAAACCTTTGTATTTTACTGCTCAGGTGGGAGAAAGAAGTCTAGTTGATGTTATCATAAACGGGAATAAATCTAAATGTTCTCCCCCACTACTGAATTGAATGAATTTAAGGTAGAGTAGGCTGCTTGTCGACAGGAAGTTATGATGAAAACCAATTAAAACAAGTCCTAGGTTGAATGGGAATGCAGTATTGTCTTTTCAAGCTGTGGACAAATCTCTGTGAAATTTAGGGGAATATGTTTGTCGAAGATGTTAGTTTATGTAATGTAATAAAACTTACTAAACTGCTGAGGTTAAATAAACATAAATCTGTCTTTAAAGCAGGTATTTTAAGTGATTAATCCTCAAACAACAAACATTTAATTCTACTCTTTCTGCAAAAAAATGCTGTTTTGTTTTTTCTAGTTTTTGTTAATAAATGAGGAAGGGCCTTTCTATTTGTTTCTTACTCGTCTTCCTGTTCTAGCATAATTCCCTTTTGTAGCCCCTTCCATTTCATAAATTCCTTCCTTATGTTCCAGCTCTAAAGAAAAGAAAAAACTGACTTGCCACTTTTCTCTGACAAACACTAACAGCTGGAAAAAAAAAAAATCTGACTCATTCTTATCTATTATGCATGCATAATATTCACTAATATTTTTATATGTAAATATATTTTGCTAAGGTTGTCTTTGCTCCCAACCATTCGCTTTCCTGACATTTTAATGTCAGCCAAATGCTGCTGCTAGGTATGGGGATAAAAACTCCTCAGGAGAAGGTTGCTGTTTTGATGGGAGATTACCAGAAAAACCCAGCTGTTCTAAGCACTGGTTTTGATATCTTTATTAGTTGCATATAATGTGTCAATAACGAGCGCATGGGAATGATTTTAACGTGAATGGAATTCTAATTACAACAGGGATTAACCGACCTACCTGCCCCTTCCTGTTGAAGTTCAATATTTAGACACCACATTGCTACATTCAGAATTTCCTGTTTAAGTCCTGCTTTATGCTCTGACGACCAAAGCCTTCTGAGACTTCCATCCAGGCATCAATAGAGCCACCCAGCCCTGACACTACAGAGCTTCTCACAGTGTGGTTAGCACAGAAATCCCTTAGGACAGCTGTAGCAGATCTTGACTTTGGAGGAGTTTCTCAGAACACAGTGGCTCTACCTCTGCTCTCTTTTTCTGTGTAGCTGAAAATGGACCATCAAACTTGGATTTTTCAGTGCTTTCCCAAGATCTCTTGGTGTGAAACGTAAGTCCTTAAGCAGGAGATTTTAATAGTCCACGATGGATTTTGCATTACTTTGTATTTCAGTTCTCGTTCATTGCAAGTTTGTTTCTGTTGCCCAAAAATTCAAGTGTTAAAAATTGTCCTAAGTTAATCGAAATGTTTCTAAGTACTTTGCTTTTAAACTGGGTTACTTTCTGTTTCTTCTGCTGTTTCCTAATTTTTTATTAGGAGAGAAAATGAGTATTCATGTTCTGCTCACCTTCTCTCTTCTAATAATTATTATCATATCTATGTATCTCTTTAATCCTATATTTTCCTAGACTATTAAACTATCTTTCATATATGTGCCCTTTGATACCCTTTCCTGTCCTTAATTTTCTTTAAATCATGTCCTTCACCAGTCTATAATTTTTTTTCTTTTTCCTTCAACTTTTAATTCTCTATTCCTGTGTAATACCATGTGCTTACTCTCTGTGAAATAATCAGAAGAGTTGACAGACGAAGATGTCTGGCTTCCAAGATTCTTTAGTAGTTGCTTCTGCTGCTTCTATTTCCCTGTCTCCTTAACAGTTCCATCTGTCGTGAAAGTCCAGCACTTTTCAAAGTTTTTTGTTTCCAGCCCTTTTACAGTAGACGTTTTTTTGGTCCTCAAAACCACTCTTATAACAGTTGAAACTGGGCAAGCATCTTACTACTGATTACATTCTTTAAATGGACTAGGTATGTTTAGAACAAAATGAGAAATCAATGAAGAGCTGTAGTGTTTTGCTGTAAGTTTTCAATGAATAATTCTAATGAGAGATTTTGCACACTGAATGTCATTCACCAGCTTTTTGCTTTATGTTTTTCTTATTTATTGGGGCTGATCTTCTTCGTAAGATAAATCACTTGATATTAAATAATTGCAACAAACTGTTTATTCTCTCCCTGCCCCTTCAGTCCCTGTCTCCTGAAATTATGTGTGGGGAAAAAAGAGAAAACAAAAAGCAGAGCTTTTTTACTTTTTCCCCCCAAAATATCTGGTTTATTTTTACAAATAATTGATGCAAACTGAACTGAGAATTGATCTGGGGATGAACTTAGCCTTAGAAATCTTCTATGTTTGCAGTAAGCTTCATGAAGAATAAAGACTCCTGAAAGTTATTATTTCACTTCTAATAGCATTATGTGTAAATCTAGCAAACTTGATGATCATAGGATGAATATTTAATTCCAAGGTGATAAGAAAGTTGTCTGGTCTGTTTTATGATTAGGATTCGAGCAAGCGCTACATAGTATAACAAACATCATGATTAAGAAATTTGATCCATTTTCTTTTTCTGGAAGCTCTTATCTATTTGATTTCAATGACACAGCAACCCCAGAGGTACCAGGGCTCTGGAGCCTCACAAAACTGCTGCTGTCCAGGAAGAGACACACAGAGAACGATACAGAGCTGGGAGGGGGCAGAGAGAGATTTTTATTGGAAGCTGTTAAAGTGGTTGCTATGAGACCTTCTCCAGCTAACACAGGCACAGCAGTGAGTGTGAGGCTGATAAATCACACCTCTTGCATTATACCTTTCCTTTCTGCCTTTTTTTTTTTTTTTCCTAGCACAGCTTTTATAGTTGTTCAAGATCAGGGAAAGCACCTGCCAGTTGCTTTTTTCTTCGTTTTGCTCCCTTCTTCTGCCTCGTGCAAGATGGAGCTAGAAAACGAAATGATCAGCTCCTCCAGCAATTCTTCAGCAGGCTCCAGAGAGTACAAGGTGGTGATGCTGGGAGCAGGGGGAGTTGGCAAAAGCGGTAAGTTTCAGCAACAACATTTCTGGGGAGAAGGGGTGCATTGGGAGGGTAAAGTTCCTGGGACAAGGACGCTGTTTAACGACAGGTTTCTTGCACATGGCTTGGATAAAAGACTGTAGTTTGTGTCTGGGGTGATGAGTCAGCTGGATTTGTTGCAGGCTGAAGTGTTACAGGCGTTTTAGTTCGGTGTTTGTGTAAAGCTGACCTTGGTTCTGCTGTGTCTGAGGGGAGAGCAGTCAGATTGCTGCTGTTGGTTTAACACCAAGTGGCACTTGGCGAGGGATGATGGTCTGCTGGACAATGTGGATGTAACTTGTTGGCCTGACAGTCCCTGTGCTCAGACAGAAATGAAACTAACTGCAAAGTCAGCTGTAGGAGGATGCCTACAGTGACTCAATTTTCCTCCCCACAATTTTTTTTTTTTTTTTTTCCTTTTTGTGTTGATTGTCACTGTGGTTCAGCTGCTTCGAGTCTCCTCTCCTGTCCGGACAGGTACAGAATGCCTGCCTGAGTCTCACTCCAGGTGATAAGGCAGATTTGCAGCATATTTTAATATCACTGTCCAGAGCTGGTAAGATATGCTGGTGTCTGACAATGGTATCTCTTCAGAGGAGTCATTATTTTCCCCTGACATTGTTTTCTTTTTCCCAGATATTATCACTTTTGATTTATTCTCACTGAAACTAGCATTCTCTGTTATTACAAAGACTTTGTTGAACATATAGAGTTTGTCTAAGAAGTCAGTGTATTGAGCTGGCCACACAACAAGCATTTGATTAAATCTTATGGAAATTCAAAAGAAAAACAGAAAGAGAAAAGAAAAAAAAAACAACAAAAAAGCAGGATAATAGAATATATCCAGGCTAGATTCCAAGGAAATTTCAGGATAAATAAACTGTAACACTAAACTGTAATAATTGCGTAGATCAAACAAGTTTTATTTATACTCAAACAATAAGATGAGGCATGGGTGCAAAAAAATTGAAGATTGGGAGTAGATGTAATTTTGTCTCTCTATCCATAATTTTGTATTCTTGTTATGTTTGGCTTCAGCTTCAGTGGCACATCTTTCAGTGAAAGCTATTTCCCCATCAGTATTGCTTAACCAAGCAAACAATTCTTGCACAGATGTTACTCTATAATCACCACATAAAATGTCGAAGAAGAAAATATTGGTTATCTCAGAGTAAGTTTTTGTAATTTCAAATTATCTTTTCCATGGTAAAACAGGTATCCAGCTGGAACTTTTAGTAAAATGTCACTTCTTTCTTTTTTTTTTAAATTTTTTTTTTCTTTTTTTTCCTTTTTTTTTTTTTTTTTTTTTTTTTTTTTTTTTTTTTTTTTTTTCTGAGTGCATCCAAAAGATGGCAGTAAGTTTTGGTTTTTTTTTCCCAAACATATCTTTGTAAGAGCAATGTAATTTTGAAAACTTATTTAACAAAAGATATTACAAACCATACCAAATTCCTAGTATGACTGAATCATAACAGCCAAACTTTGTATATATATATACTGAGGGAATTTTGGAGTTCACACTCAATATTAGATAAGAGTTTAAATCACAAATTTTGTTTATTCAATTTTCCTTATTTAGAAGACATTAGCTGTTAATTTCATGAGAATAAAGCCTTCAAATCTGTGGATTGCACAAAACAATGATACATCTCCAAAGCTGAGAACCACATAATTAACAATTAGAATTGTGTGTCTGCATGGTCTAGAGAAATAAAGATAGGATGAAGTGGATAGTTATGACTATTCAATGGGATAAATGAAAACTTTCCATTGTATTCACAAAAGTTAAACTTTTAGGTGGAAAAAAAAAGCCAAAACAAAACAACTGAGGATTATTAAGATAGGAGATGGGTAGTCAACATTACTGGCTTTGAAATGGACATAAAATATTTCAGTGGAATCCTGAGAGAGAATCCAAGTGATAGAATTCTCATAGAGATAAGGAAAAATTGTTGGTATTCCGTAAGTCATTAATTCATTCTGACTGTTACATAAACAGGATTAATTTAGACTGGATTACAAGTAGAAAAAGGCCTAAATGACTACTTTAATTCTACAAGATGAGCTCTTTACCCTAGTGACCTAGATTCATTTGGTTAAGGACATTATGAATTTAACCATAAAAATTGATCAGGGTTGAATAAAGATGAAAGACTAAAAAAGAAAAAAACAAAACAAAACAAAACAAACCCAAAAAATTCAGTTTCCAGTTTTGATTTTGACAAATAAGTGATATATGATTAGATGTACTGATAATATCCTGGCTTTTTTTTTTTTTTTTCATTCTTTTTTCTCCCTCTTACTTTGCTTTTAAGTCATGATAAAAACAGTAACAGCTGGGGTTGAGTTACTGAGTGGGAAACAAGAGGAAACCTCTTTTGGATGAAAGACTTTTCCATTCCTCACTACGTTCAGTATTAAATAATTCAGGTTTTGAATGAATTTTCCATTGGAATCAAGATGCAGAAATGTTAGATTTCTTTTTACTTTAGATGTAGTTCACTTCTAGAGACCCCCTGGGAATTTTGATCTGCTGTTTCCCACTCTCTTACTGTGCCACTTCATCCTGTGTGTGTGGAGGTCTTTGCATTGAAAACTGCCTGCTCCTTGTGAGGGGCTGAGGGTTGTGATTGTGTTTGTTCACAGGGAGGAATTAGGAAGAGGAGACCAGCACTGGATGTCCTTTGGCATTGGTGTTTATAGAATATTTGCTTTGGGTTGTCAGGCTTGTCTCTTCGGTTGTTTGCTCCAAGATGATGGACAGCCCAGGAGGACAGTCAGTGTCCTGTTATTTAAGCTATTCTGTTTGGTAGAAATTTCAAAGGAATTGGTAAAAAGAAGATAAAGCTCAGCACATCCAAGTCTGATACCCATCACATCCAGAGTAATGATGTGCAAACTGCAAATGATTTAAGAATTGTTACTTAACTGTCCTCACATTTCAAAATCGGTACCACTATTTTGTAGGAGGAAAAAAAAATCCACCCCAACCCAGAGGAATAGTTGTGTTTAATTAAAATGTGCAGAAGTCCATGTAAATTTTCACAGGAGTTGATTTCTGTACTGTAATTATGGACTACAGATGCCCTAGAATAAATTACCATTTCTAAGACTTCTGAAAACAAAACTGTTTTTGTTTTCAGAGCAACATGTTAATTTATTACTTTGCATGGGTTGTGTTTGTCGTTAAGAACATCAAGTACAGTCTGATGCAATTTCAGACCAAAATTTGGTTAGAACCAGGAATTAGACGGAAATTAAACTGAAAAGAAGTGAATTTTCTACTGACTCTCATTTAAGTATAGTCCATGCCAAAATTTCATATTTCCAATTATATGTAAGTTTCAATTAAAAAAGAGAATTTGACACTTGATCTTCTCAGACACCTCAGTATCGTTTAAACATACATCAAATTTCTTGACATAGGGTTTAAACACTAAGCATCTTGGTGCTTTTGAAACCCATTTTCCTGAGAAATACCTTCAGAGATCAGGAACAAGTTACTCTCATGGTCCCTGTCTGATGCAGCTCAGACCTCTGCATTTATCTCTGTTTTTCAGTGTTCCAAGAAACACACATGAAAGAGCCTTTACATCCTTCGACCATCTATTGCTGGCTCATATTTAGCAAACCAATTACACTAATAACAATAATTGACTGCAGCACATTCTGCAAAACATTAGCGATGATTAACCTGGGGGTTGAACAGTGACTAACAAAATCAACAAATTGATGTACCCCGTGCCACCAAACAATATAAAAAACCTCTGCTAATGAAAAATTGTTACTACCTAAGCATTCTTCAAGTGCTGATCAGATTGTGCCATGACCTAACTTTTTGTGTATCTTCCTGACTGAATGAAAATGTTGTTCTGGTTTGTTTGTCAGTTCGTTTTTCCCTAATGCTAGTTAACATTGATATATTTAAGGCTGAAGATATTCTACAGTTATTCCAGGTAGATAGAATTGCATGTTTATGCATAGAATAAGTGCATCATAGACAAAAGTTTCATGCTAACTGTCTTATGAAAGTTGTACTTCAGATGAGTAGAGGAATTCTTAAAAAAAAAAAACAAACAAAAACCTAATAAATATTTGTTGTTAATTAGTTAGATTTTTAGTTAGGAGAAAGTTTACATTTTTCAATATTTATTTCTCAGACTGACTACCAGTTGATTTGTTGCCACTGTAAGAAATTTGTAGGGATTTAAAGTAGTTGTCCCAAGATATTTTGCAAAATTAATATATTTTTTAGTTTTATTACACATGGGAAAACATTTAGATATGTATTTTCAGGCTTCAACCTTAGAAAGAATAAAAAAGAGGAAGTAAAGAAATCAAGAAGGTATTATCTTAGGGTTGTTGCAGGAATAGTGTGAGGAAAGGTATTTCTCAGCCTGATCTGGTTAGAGGTGGTATGCTTACCCCACTAATTTCCTTGCTTTTTTTTTTTTTATGTTGCATAAAGACTGTGTTTCTACAGATGCAGGTGATTAATCCAATTAATTTCATGATCATGTATATAGAATAAGTTCCAAAATGTGTGAAAACAATAATTTTTCTTTTGTGATATGGGAATTTCAGCACGAGGAATTAGATTAAATCTGCAAACTTCTTTTATTTATGTGATAAACTGCCCTTTTATTTTTTTGACCAGTTTTACCTCTTATTCTGTCTAGATAAAGCAAATTCTGTGTCTATTAATTTCAACTGTGTCCCCATAACAAGAGCCCCAGTAAGCAGAGGTAGCCATATAGAGTGTGTACTGGAGAACTGTCCCACTCCAGCTGTTTATTAACTCTCTGGAGATAAACTAATACATGATCAAGTCTACACTGAAAAAGATGAAGGGCACAGGTAGAGATTCCAGCTGTATAGGAAGTCCTGAGCTTGAAAAGCACCATTTGGATCTGCTGGTGATGTTCTTACACCATCACAGGGCTCAATATCACACACCACAGTTCAGGCATTGATCAAACAACCTT